TGTAATCTTAGATTATGCACCAAAAATTCATGGATGGAATTTTTAATTTCATAACTTTTGAAGGCTACTGTTGGAGGTAGTTGGTGAGAGTCCTGGGGTAAAGAAAATACCTTCAAGTCTAATAGTCGTCGTTGCAAACTGCAGGAACTCTGCTCTGAAATGGGAATATATCCGAGAATACTAGGCAGCTTTAGTGCTTGGGAGCAGGGGCTACGTGGACAGTTAGTTTACGGCAGGTTAGTGTGGAATAGACTTATGCCCCAGGTTGCAGTACACTAATTGTTTGTATAGAGGAGCCCTTATTTGTTTACTACTAATGCAACAAATACTTTGGCTGTTTATCTAAACTGAAATATTCAGTGGCTGTTTCCTTGACACCATATTGTGTCTGTAACTTTCTTGAAACAAAATTTGATGCAGCTGAATAAACTAGATGCTTTCCATCCTAGAGTGTGGAGAAAAACTGAATTTGTAGGGAGTTAGTTAAAATTCAGAGGTAAAGATGGTGGCACTACAGTCTTGAGGGGAGAGTACTAAAACTCTTACTCAGATGTTTACAGAGGGTAAATGAGTTTCTACAATGGAAAAACTAGCAGTTATCTTCTGAGTCTCTTATCTTCCTGAGAGCACTGAGGAAGATGAGTCTTGGAATAACAGATCTCCCATTCTCTCTGGAAAAGTCCATTTTGTCTTTGCAAATATCAAATATTTCTTCTTTCAGTCACCTCAGCCTTTGCAGTATTGGTAGGTGTGATGTTTTCCTGGTGTCATCTGGACCGGTGATCTGCTAGGTCACTCCAATCCTTGACTCTGGGAGCCAGCCTTACCCTGCTCTGCTGTGAGAACCCCACTCCTGGGCTGTTCACGCACAGCCTCTGGCATGTAAATTGCTCCTTGGATTGTGCAACCGAATGACACAAGCCAATATCTCCAGTCCCAGACCCAACTCTAGGAACCTCCGTTTTGTATGAGTTATGCCCACTGGACACCGCAAGCATGTATGAGTTCATCAATTTAACAAAGAAATTGATATGTACCAGGCTTGTTATCTTAAGGGGACTCTCTAACATGCTTCAGACCAAACGAACTGCTTCAGGTAGAATAAACAGATTTATTAACTACAAAGATAGATTTTAAGAGATTATAAGTCAAAGCATAAGTTGGATTTGGTCAAATTAAATAAAAGCAAAACACATTCTAAGCTGATCTTAACACTTTCAATGCCCTAACAAACTTAGATGCTTCTCCCCATAGGCTGGCTGGTTGCTCTTCAGCCAGGCTCTCCTGTTTGATCAGCGCTTCAGTTGCTTGGTGGTGGTGTCTGTAGATGGAGTTGGAAGAGAGAAGAAGAGCATGGCAAATGTCTCTCCCTTTTATCATGTCCTTTCTTCCCTTTTGGCTTTGCCCTACCCCCCCACACACAACCTCTTCAGAGTCAGATGGGCGTTACCTCATCGCAGACCCAAACTGACCAAAGGAATGGGGGTGACTCACTCGAGAGTCCAACAGATCCTTTGTTGTTGCCTAGGCCAATGTCCTTTGTTCCTGTGAGGCTGGACTGGGTTTGTCCCATACATGCCCTGATGTGGTGTGAACTGCCGCTCTGCTCTTGGAGAGATTTTGCCTGGGCTTGCTTTAACCTGTGAGGATCCATTTTCAGCCTCATAACTATATACATGAAATTATAACCTATAACATTACTGTAACAACAATTACTATAACATCACTATAACAACAATGCTCAGTGCATCATGAGCCTTCCAAAGACACCCAACATGACAAACTTTGCATTGGATACCACACAATCATAAGGATGAACATGGGGGTGTAGGGTGTTCCCATGAGGTACAGAACATCACGGTTGGTAATTCAACTCTGTTTCATTTTAAATTATGGTTTGAGATAACTATTGAGTTAGGCTTAAAAGCACAGTTTGTTTGAAGAGAAGAAACTACAGGGAGTTTGAAAACCTTATGACAGTTAGCCTGAAGATTAAGGTGTTACTGGCCGGAATGGAAAAATTGTCTTGCCACACATTTCAAAATTCCCCTCAAATGGCTAAGATGTATTATTCTTGTGTAATGCTCACCATGTACTGAACTTATATTGTCAATCAACTTTCTATTATAAATATGCTGAAAGCATAACAGAAATAAGAAAAGTAGTAACTTTTTACTCTTCCTGTCTTTACTTCACTTTTTATCTTTTCCTGTAACAGAAAATGTGTTTTACAATAGTGTCTGGAGGTTCCAACAGATTATACAGTGCCCGGTACAGTGGTGTCCCAAATAGCTCCAGACCTAAGTGCTTACAAACCAAATGGACAAGATGGGATGAAGGATCACCCCCATTTTATAGATGGGGTTTTGAAGCACAGATTAAGTGACTTGCCCAAGGTTACACAGCAAGTCTGTGGATTCAGGAATTAAACCCAGGTCTCTTGTATTCCAGTTCAGTGTCCTACTCTACAAGGACATGGCATATCATTCCTGTTTTGTCTTCAGTGTTAGTTTTTTCTTTCTCTGTCTTTGTCCTTCTTCCTACATAGCTTTAGAGCTGCTCTATTTTCTGGATCATATCTATGGCCTGTGAAAGACTGCTTTGTGTGACTGGCCCCCCCAAAAAAGAAGTACTTTTTAGCTTGACTTAAAGGGTCAGTGGAGTATTCTCCCAGCATGAGATGAATCCTCTGGTCTAGGACTGCTGTAGCTCTTAAGTCACTCCCTGACCTGGCCCAGGGGAAAAGGGCTGGGCTAGAGGGCGGGGCATGGCCAGGGTATTCCAACACGTTGCTGGCCATGGGCACTGATAGAAAACATGGGATAGTCACTGTCCAGAGACAATGACCAGTTGAGAAATAATCTTCTGCAGGCCGCTCGAAGGGAGAGCGTGCATAGTTTCTTATCAAAATGTTTGATGCCTCCATCTTTCATATCAGACTTTCATTAATTAGTGCGTCGCACCCTTGAAGCAAGACCCTCCGACTTCTTGAAGGGAGAAGGAACATTGTTTTCCTTCAACAACTTGGCAGCTGTGTAGGTGCAGTTCTGTCACTCTCCTTGTTCCTGAGATTTCTAGCTGCTGAGCGGAGTGGCAGTTTCTCTGATAGGATTTTTCCTGCAGCTTCAGTTTGAGTCTTTCACTCCAGCTCTTGCCTTTGCTATTGCTCCTAGATTTGCAGTCTGTTTTACTTTTGCTTACACGTTTCTGAATAGCAGCAGTTTTTTTGCTTCTTCCGCTTGACAAACCAGCAGGAGCCGGGGCACCAGCTCTGTGTGCAGACTTGGGAGGGTTACAGTTCCTCAATTCACAGTTCACATTTGAAAACTTCTTTGCAACCATAAGTGTTAGAAACTTCATTTTTAAAATGAAAACTTAGATTCTACAGAAGAAGCTTATTTAGTTTATCCGAGAGACATTTAGGAGATGACTTGACTACAGATTGCAAGTACCTACATGGGTAGAAGACTTGATAGAGGGCTCTTTAATTTATCAGACAGACATAAGATTCAGTTGCTGGAAGCTGAAGCAAAGAAAACTTAAACTAAAATAAGGTAATGAATCATTGGAGCAATTTACCTAGGGATGTGGTAGCTTCTGTTACTTGAAGTCTTTAAATCCAGATGAAATCTCTCTCCAAAAGATGTGCCCTAGCTCAACAAGAAGTGATGGATTGGATGCAGGAGCCATTTAGTGAAATTCTATGGCCTGCGTTGCGCACAAGGTCAGACCATCTGATCATCCCTTTGCTTTTCACGGACTCGGATTTAAAAGGCTTGAAGATCAGGCTGAAGTCTCCTTGTCTTGGAAATATCTTGACTATCGTAGCTTCCTTAATAGTATGCTCCTAAGAAACAGTACCAAGATTTTTCAGAAGTCTAGGATTTTGGGAATCTGTCTTGAAAGGGACCTGATGCTCAGATGTTAAGTAATCTCTGAAAAATCAGGCCATTTGCAGTGTTTCAGGTTGGACAACCTAAAAGTGAGGCATGCAAAATCACTTTTGAAATTATTGACCGCAAGATGTAAGTGCATGTTTCTACAAATTTGATTTGGCTCTATCAGGTGAAATTACAAAAATGTATATGTTGGGGACTTGATTGCAGAGATCAGGAAATGATTGAATGGCTGTGTGTTCGTATGTTACTGGCAAATCTGAGTCTTTTGAATTCAACAATTTTCACGTTTTTATTGATAATAAAAAGTGTTTGAAAAAAACATTTTAAAATTATTTCTTTTCAGGGATGCAGTCTAATATTAGTCTCACAGTACCTATGTCCCCTTCTGAATGAAAGAGACTGGCTTTACTTGTATGCTTTATGCTTATCCCCTGATTAGGGCTCTTACAAACTCATTCTTTACCATCAATAGTATAAGTTACATGCCCCGTATTGCAAAAAGACATTTAAAATATACTGGATAGAACCCAGAAAACAAGCCATGTCTTATTGGACGGTGAGATAAATATGGAAAACTTTGCATTTAAATCGGAAAAGGCATTGTTTGCAGTGTTATTGTTTAAACTAAAATAAAATAGTCCATATCACATTATATACAAATTCCTGCTGTTTTGCCCACATAAGTTGAATGAAGGAACTGATGTTCCATCTAGAGAACCACCAACAGATGGTATCCAACCTGGCCTATACCGATTATGGATAACTAGTGATCCTAATGGAGAACATATGAGTTCTGACAGGGCTTAAGTACATAAGTATATAAGTGAGCGTCAGTTTAGAAAGTTCTTCTATTTTTTTATAGGTTTTTTGTTTTCAGTATGTTTATTTTCAACTTTGAGGGCTTTATTGTTTCATTTTTGGGAGATTAATCAGTCTTATTCTGGGTAACTACCTCATTATAGACTTGATTGCCTATTTAGGATTTATGTCTTTCTCGGTGTGAAATTACAATTGTTTTAGGTCCTGAAGCAAGGTTATAATCAGGACTCTGATAATTACTAATTTACTTACTGATCCTTTTATCTGTTTCTTTCTTACTAGATCCTGGATTTGAGCATTTTAAGATAGCAGAAAAATCCCATGGGAATTGGATCAAGCTCTATCTAGAGGGAAATAATTCAGAAGTCCTCTTAAACCTTGGCAAAAAGGTCCTTAAGCAATATTTAGAGGCTCTGAAGATCTTGAGTTCTTCACTAAGCAAGCAAGTGGCACAATACGACATGTATTCAATGACGGTGGGGACTGTGATAGTCCTGGAGGTATGAATTGATAAGTTTAGGAAGGAGGTTATATGATGGCATTGCCTGTGCTAGGGGAGAATGACCCAGGAGGTCCCGTCCCAATTTATATTCTTGTGAATTCACATCTCATTATGAAGCGTCTAAGAGCAGAAACGTTCAATTTGCTCTTTTGATTACATAGTATGGTTTTAGTAATGAGTAATGCTGGAAATTGGTAACTGTTTCAGTGTTAACTCTTTTCTATTGAAAGATGAAGTATGACTTTTCAACACACCAAAATTATTTTCTGGGATAAGTGTTAGGAAGCTTTTGGTATAATCTCTTTGGTTTAAGCTTTCTGTACTTTGATATTTACAAAAAGAAAAAGAGTACTTGTGACACCTTAGAGACTAACAAATTTATTTGAGCATAAGCTTTCGTGAGCTACAGCTCACTTCATCGGCTGTAGCTCACGAAAGCTTATGCTCAAATAAATTTGTTTACTTGTGACACCTCAGAGACTAACAAATTTATTTGAGCATAAGCTTTCGTGAGCTACAGCCGATGAAGTGAGCTGTAGCTCACGAAAGCTTATGCTCAAATAAATTTGTTAGTCTCTAAGGTGCCACAAGTACTCCTTTTCTCTTTGCAAATATAGACTAACACGGCTGCTGCTCTGAAACCTTTGATATTTACAGTAAGTGTGTAGATGTGCTCCAACTTTAACTGCTCTTGTATCCACTAGCCTATATTGCTTCATGAACAGAGCTTCTCTATATAAAAAGTATAGAGCAGCTATGACAACGTTCTGTTTGTGCCTAATGATGATGTAAAATTCACATTTCAGCAGTCCGGGTTAAATTCTCAGATATAGGAACATTTATTCTTCGTGCTTAAAGGTATAATCCTGGGAAAGGAGTGCTTCCTGCAGGGAGCTCAGTGCCCTCAACTCTTGCTTAAGATCTTCTGTAGGAGCTGAGAGTACTCAGCACCTCACAGGACCGGGCCCTAAAAATAGCAAATACCATCTTTGGTATGAAGCCTGGAACAGGCTATTTGTAGGTGGTGTTTTTTTTTGTTTTTTTTTGTTTTAAATGTGGATAATTATTAGGGCTATTGATTGATCGCAGTTAACTCACGCGATTAACTCCAAAAATTAATTGTGATTAAAAAAATTTATTGCCGTTTTAATCACATTGTTAAACAATAGAATACCAATTGAAATTTATTACATATTTTTGGATGTTTTTCTACATTTTAAAATATACTGATTCAGTAACACAGAATACACAGTGTTCAGTGCTCACTTTATACTATTTTTATTACAAATATTTGCACTGTAAAAATGATAAATGTAGATTTTTTTTTTTGTTACATAGCTGCATTAAAAACTCTGTAAAACTTCAGAGCCTACAAGTCTTCCTTCTTGTTCAGCCAATCGCTAAGACAAACAAGTTTGTTTAGATTTATGGGAGATAATGCTGCCTGCTTCTTATTTACGTCTCCTGAAAGTGAGAACAGGTATTCTTATGGCAGTTTTGTAGCCGGCATTGCAAGGTATTTACATGCCAGATATTCTAAACAGTCATATGCCCCTTCATGCTTCAGCCACCATTCCAGCGGACATGCTTCCATGTTGATGATCTCATTTAAAAATGTGTTAATTAAATTTGTGACTGAACTCCTTGGGGGAGAATTGTATGTCTCCTGCTCTTTTACCTGCATTCTGCCATATATTTCATGTTATAGCAGTCTCAGATGACCCAGCACATTGTTCATTTTAAGAATGCTTTCACTGCAGATTTGACAAAACGCAAAGAAGGTACCAATGTGAGATTTCTAAAGATAGCTACAGCACATGACCCAAGATTTAAGAATCTGTAGTGCCTTCCAAAATCTGAGAGGGACAAGGTGTGGAGCATGCTTTCAGAGGTCTTAAAAGAGGAACACTCTGATGTGGAAACTACAGAATCCGAACCACCAAAAAAGAAAATGAACCTTCTGCCGGCGGCCTCTGACTGAGACAATGAAAATGAACATGTGTCGGTCCACTGCTGGAGATTATCGAGCAGAACCCAACATCAGCATGGATGCATGTCCTCTGGAATGATGGTCAAAGCAAGAAGGGCTATATGAATCTTCAGTGCATTTGGCACGTAAATATCTTGTGACTCCGGCTACAACAGTGCCCTGTGAATGCCTGTTCTTACTTTTAGGTGACATTGTCAACGAGAAGCGGGCAGCGTTGTCTCCTGCAAATGTAAACAAACTTGTTTGAGTGATTGGCTGAACAGGAAGTAGGACTGAGTGGGCTTGTAAGCTCTAAAGTTTTACATTTTCTATTTGAGTGCAGTTATTGTACATGATTCTGCATTTGTAAGTTAAACTTTCTTGATAAAGGGATTGCACTACAGTACTTGTGTTCGGTGAATTGAGAAATACTATTTTTTTTACAGTGCAAATATTTGTAATAAAAAATAAATATAAAGTGAGCCCGGTGTGCTTTGTATTCTGTGTTGTAATTGAAATCAATATATTTGAAAATGTAGAAAACATCCAAAAATATTTAAATAGTATTCTACTATTGCTTAACAGCACAATTAATCTTTTTAATTGCGTAACAGCCCTACTTTCTAGGATTAAAAAAAATTCCATCATGTCGGATCACATTGATGACTTATGTGGTGTCACAGTGTTAAAACCTGAAGACTCACAGAACAGATCTCTGCTACTTGAGCTAATGGAATAACTGGTGGTAGTGGTATTGGGTTAGCCACTATAGGGAGATGAGGCAACATTTGGGTTTCACAGCATTCCTTTGTCAGCCTACTATTTGTTGACAGAGGAATGTTGAGGCTCAGGAAATACTAGATTTTTATGGCAGGTTCTGCAGTGACACATAATCCAATGTTTATACAGACCCTTGTGCCCCTGGCCTGCCCTGCCCCTTCCAGCCTGTGCTTGTCCGTATCCCTCCTCAGCACTTCATGCATCTGTATTAGTCAAGTGGCTTCCTTTTCCATTGCCAGTGTGGCAGTACTGGGGAGTATTGAGAGCACAGCATAGAGTCTCTGTGCTTTTAGTTCTTGTGATTGGTGCTACAACAGTCCCTGACTGTTGAGAGGACCAATTGCAGAGATAGTCCTGCTCAGCCCCTGCAGTCCTGAGATGAAGTTTCTGCACTGTTGATCTGTGGGGTAGCACATGCTTTGTGTGGTCAGCATGTAGGATCTGTGAGGGGTTGGAGCATGCTCAGTACAGATGAAATCTTCAGAGAACATCTTTGTGGGGGAGGGATAGCTCGGTGGTTTGAGCATTGGCTTGCTAAACCTAGGATTGAGTTCAATCCTTGAAGGGGTCATTTAGGGATCTGGGGCAAAAATTGGGGATTGGTCCTGCTTTGAATAGGGGGTTGGACTAGATGACCTCCTGAAGTCCCTTCCAACCCTGAGATTCTATGAGATTCTAACATAGCTGTCGTACTCTACTAAATGAGCATGTGTGAACTGAGGTTTTGGGGCTCAGAACATGTCCAAATATGGATGAATTTTCACAAAGATGGTGGTAAACACATCCTTGTCACTGTGGGACCCTTGCCAAATTTCAGGTCTCTGATCCAAAATATCGGAGGCACTAGAGCTTCTCAACAAAATGGTTACAAATTTTTTAACATGGGCAAAATATCAATATGAGAAACAGCTGTGATTTTGCTGAGACTTTAAAAAAAGAAAATTCATCCCGAGCCAAACAGCAAACATGGAAAATTTAAGCCTAAACCATTAGTTTGGTGGGGTTATAAGAAACTGAAAATAGGGCATTAGAATGGAAAGGGCTGGGTAAAACAAGGTCTTAGAATGAAAAACATCAGGCAAGTAGTTGATTGTGTGATTAACTACATAGGCACTGCTACCTGAGCCACTTTATAATAACCTGTCCTCTGTAAATCTGTTCCTCTCTAACTATAGAGGAGAAAATGGAGGCTCACTGTGGCTTTACGGGTTTGGGTAAATTTCTGCAGGTATCTTAGTTCTTTTGCCCTTAATGTCCATAATGGCAGTTTTAGGTCATAACTAGATGATTTTCAAGATTAGGATACCTTTGCTTGGCAAACAAACAGATAAGTGTTCTTGCATTAGAATAAACCCCAAATAGGAACAGCATCAAAGAAAATGAATTCCAGTCTACAAATATGAAGGCTTATAGAGTATAAAGATCCACATCTATTGATAGGCAAAAATAATTGTGACCAATAACATCATAGCACTTACTTCTAGTACCATAGGTATGTGTTGGCTGGGAAGTTGATCATAGTTTGTCTAGGTTAGTTAAGACCTAAACTTAATGCATTTTCTTTATTGTGGAATACATAAGTGATGACTTCCAACATTCTTGAAACCTTAACACTGACCCCGAGACACTAAAGACCATAAAAACTGACCAGTTCATGCAGGCTGCTGGAGACAGCTACAGCTGCCATGGAAAAGGGAAAGGGAGCATCTCCCTCTGTGGGAAGCAGAGGAAGGGTAGCATTCCTGTCTACGATAAACAATGACTACTGAGGACCCTGCTGATCAGCTGGTCTGTCCTCTTGTGTCCCACTCATTCCTCCTGCAGGGTCCTGCCTGCTTCTTTAGCTTTGGACTCAGCATTGAGATGGCTGTGTGGTTTGGGAAGAGAGGCTGTGGGGAGAGAACCTGACACAGAGAACCCAGGGTGACTTCATGCAAAGTATAGTGGGGAAAGAGAAGACTGGCAGCCTGCTGTAAGGAGATGTGGGTCTTCAGTTTCTCATTGGAGGGTAGAGGGTGCTGCTTTTATGTCTGTTTGCACATTTTACTACATTATGTGATAAAAGCTGACTATTGGCAATGATTCATGAAAATGCAGGTGGCACAATGGTATAGTGTGCGCTTACTTTTAACCTTGAGACTTATTTTAAATGTTGCCTTAAAATTCAATTGTTTGATCTCATCCTTGTCCAAATTCCATTTGTGCACATTGCAAACCACTGTGGAACTTGGCCTGATTTCCTGTTTCTGCTTAGAGGTGGCATGTTGGAATAGCGGAAGTTATACTGGTTAGCATTCAGGTTCATTGACCTCAGATGGAGTTTTGTCTACATCTATCTGGATAGGGCTGAACCCTTCAGAAAGACACCCCCCCCACCCCCCAACATTGTTGGTCTTGCTCACAGATAGATAAAAAAGGTCTGTAATCTCTAATCAGACTTTCCAAGTGGATATCCGTCTGCATTAATTCTTGCTGCAAACCTCATAATATTCAAGCGTCTTCAGACATATGAAGTCATGCTACAAGGTCCCTTTTCACCTCTATGGCATTTTTCAAAAACGAACCCATTATTTAAATATGTAAAGCTGCTACTTGGTCTTCTGTACATACGTTCGCTAACCACTATGCAATAACTCATGACTCTGCTGCTGATACTATGTTCAGCTCAGGTGTACTTTCTTCTATAGTGGACTTGACTCTAAAGTCCACTCCTCCTTAAAGGAAAACTGCTCAGTAGTCACCTAGAATGGGGCACTGATAAAAAATCTCTTCAAAAAAGAAGAAATGGTTACTCACCCTGTGCAGTAACTATAGTTCTTTGAGAACTGTGTCCCTATGGGTGCTCCACTGCCCACCCATCTTCCCCTCTACTTTGGAGTTCTCTGTTCTACAGCTCCACAGTAGAGAAGGAACTGAGGGTGGGTTCACCTGCACAGCACTATATAATAATGATTTGGGGCACGAGGTGACTAGTACATGTGCATGGGCTGAACGGACACTGCTATGAGAAATCTCCATTCAAAGGCACAGGGGTAGGGTGACCAGGTGTCCGGTTTTGGACTGGAACACTTGGTCAAAAAGGGATCCAGGCAGCTCCGGTCAGCACTTCTGACAGGGCCATTGACTGTCTGTTTGGAGAGCCACTGCCCTATGGGACTGGTAGGCTCCCTGCTAGCTGCGGCATTGTGTGGCTCCCGGGTTGGGAAGCAGCCGGCATGTCTGGCCCTAGCTTTAGGGGCAGCCAGGGGGGTCCATGTGCTCCCCCCCCCGCAGGCGCATCTCATTGGCTGGGTCAGGGCAGGGGAGGAACTAGCGGGAGCATGACTCGAGAGCGTTCCGCAAGTGGTGGCTGAGGGGTCTTGTGGTGGGCGCCTCTCCTGCTGCTGCCCGGCCCTCTTCTCCCCACACTCCTTGTGTGGCTGGGTTTGAGCTGCGGTGCATGCCCTGCCTCTGACCGCGGTTTGTCTGTCGTATCCCCGTCTCCGAGTGCTGGGAGTGAGGCTGCACCCCCTTCACCCATCATTGCATCCCTCCCTGTCCCAACCCCCTTGCAGCCTCATCACTGCATTCTTCCTTGCCCCAACCCCTCTGCATCCCCATCCCATCCTGTCCTGTCTGCCACACCTACCCATCCCAGCTCTGTACCCCTTACAGCACTCTCCCACCCATCCTCTCCACCTCCCAGAGCTGCCACCCCCACAGCCCTCCACTCCAGTCACCTCTACACCCTTGTGCCCCCGACATCCTCATGCACCTGTAGCGTTCTGCATCCCCATCCACCCCACATCCCCTCCTCTCTCCTTCACCCTGACCCTGCTCTCATCCTTGGCCTCTTTCCCTCCACAGTGTCTCTCCTCCACACACACACACACGCACACCCATCTTTTCCCCTCCAGCCCACCCTCCTCCTTCCCGGCTGGGTGATTTAGGCAGCCCCTGGAAAAGTGTATGAAGAAGTGTCTCTGTGTAGGCAAGTGTATGCATGCATGCGTTGTATGTGTGTAAGAGAATGTGGGTCTTTATGTAGAGAGGTATGTGTATTACCGCATGTTTGTATACGTGTGTGAATACAATTTGCAGCCTAACTTCTTTGACTTTTATTCCTTTTGCTGGCTTGCGCACAAAAAAATTGATGACATAAAATATGTGTATTCATTTCATAACAAGTTTTTAAAAGAGAAGGGAACTCTACAAGAAATGTATTATTTCTTAAAAAGTGAAGTTGTTGACTAGTAATTGCAGAAGAGCCAATGTATCCTACATTTATCCCCACCTTTGCTGAGCTACATTATAAACTCTTTGTTGCAGACTCTCTCTTTTTATGTGTATATTCAGCACCTACCTCCCTGGAGCCCTGATCTTAGTTGGGGTGTCTAGGCATTAAACAATAATTGTAATATTAAATAATGCGGAATTATATGTGTTAGTGCATGCTAGATGTGTACACATGAATACACGTGTATCTGCATGTAGGGGTGGGAGTCCGTTTCCACCAATTTATTTATATAGGTATCTGGACAGGTGTGCATTTCTGTGGTGGTGCTCCATGGCTTTGTATTTGGGCTTCAGGAGTGGGCCTTTAATGGACCCATTGCAGCTGTGTTAATGTGTGGTTCTAATTCCACACACACACTAACAATAACTTTAGTGAAGAAAAAACGTGGAGCTGGTTACGAAAAATGGGAAGAGGGCAGAGAGAGAATAATGAAAACCTTTGTGAAATTTCATTTTTTAAAAAAATTACCCTTTTTGATTATTTTGCTATCAGCTCTAACATCCTGTAACAAATAAAACATGAACTTAGCATAATACAGCTGTCAAAACAATAATATGCCTGTTGGGGCCTTGCAGTGAATATGAGCACGAGAGAGGGCGGGGAAGAGCAAGCGACAGAGGGAGAGGGGATGGAGTGGGCGGGGAAGTGAGGCCTCAGGAAGGTGGGGGAAGGGCAAGGCCTTGGAAGGGGTGGGGCGGGGGAAGGGTGTTCGGTTTTCTGGAATTAGAAAGTTGGCAACCCTACAGAGGGGGCGCAAGTGCACCTGGAGTGGTGCTCCCATAGGGGGATACATCTCAAAAAACTGCAGTTACTACATAGCGTGAGTAATCATTTCTTCATACTTCAAACCATATTCTGCAAGCCCTCCTTGTGCAGGGATGCCATTGAAATCAGTGGGAGTTTTGTATACGGAGGGCTTGCAAGATTTCTGTGCAACAGTTTGTATATCTGGTTTAAAAACACTAAAATATGTAAGTGTATTCTTCAGTTACAGTTGGCATAAAACTGCCCAGTCTGGCATGTACCTTCCATCACACACAACCTAGTTGCAAAATATATTTACTAGCAATTTAGTATGGAAAACAACTGTTTTCCTTTGAATGTTTGTTGAATACTCTAACTGTAGTTTTGAATCTGTCTAGTGACCCTCCCAATATTTTTGCTTTCTTTTCTAGGTTCTACTTCTGCTTTTGCTCAGCATGTCAAAAGCACTGAGCAGCAGGGCTGAATTTGAAGTGCCACTCTCACCTCTGCTGTTTTCTCTGCTGTTTTACTTGATGTGCCTGATGCTCTGTGCAGTTCATGTAATTGTATGCACATCAGCAGAAAGCTTGTGCTATTTCTGCAGTATATCATGGTTAACGGCAGTTGGAGTGATGATGCTGATTTCTGCACTTATGTGTGTAATTTTATCCGCCTTTGGAAAGATGATTGAGAATCCCAAACTTCCAGCTAAGGTGAGACCACTCCTTAAGAAATATAGTTGAAGCCTTTTGCTGTTTATGACGTGTTCTTGAGCCAAGTCTTATCTGAAGTTCCTGTTGTAGGCTAAAGGTATAGTATAATCTGAAGATAGTGAAATTGAAATGTGATATAGTCACTATGGCATCATACTGATTACTATAATGAAGGTCATAAAAAGTGTTCGTTTTCACATTACTTTAAGAAATGTTCTAATGAATGTAATTTTGCATTTGATTTAGTAGATCAGAAACACAGTACACTAGTTACATGTCTCTTACGCTATGACACTTGCGTATACAACTAAAGCAGTTTGGGTGATGCCAAAATACCACACACTGAAAAGAACTGGTTGTATTTTCCAGATACTTGGAACATGACAACACTTTGAGTAAGAAAACAGGCATTGTTAGCTTTTTAGTTTCATAAAACAAATTCAGAGGTTTTAAAACCACATCAGCTATATAAAATGGGCTGCCCCTCCTCAGCAGGTGGTGGTAATGGAAAAATCAATTAATATTTAATACAGAAGCTGTATCCTTTCCTTTACTGTCTTGATTGTAAAAAGAATAATTCATTTTGTGGTCTGATAGCTGGTTAGTTTAACTTTTTGGTGCCAAACAGCAAATACTTGTTAAAATAATGAACTAATCAACGAAAGGCAAGATCTGCTGAGCAAGAGACCGAATTGCACAGTCTACTCTGGAAAAGGAATGTTGATCTCAAAATGGCCTATACACACTTCAGTCATCTCTGAATTTTCTTACTTAGGCTTTGACTTTTAGCTTTTATTTTATTTACTATGGAATAAGGAGATGTATCTCTTAGATTAATGTTGCTTTAACTAAAAGCAGTCTGATCTTGATGCTGCTAACATTTCATAGTGCCTTAATAGTCTCTGCTGAAATGGAAATATTTACTCATGGTGAGCAGTGCTGGGTACTCTTTTTTTTTTTTTTTCTTTCTACAGTTTTCCACATTTTTTTCATAGTGCCAATTTTATAAATAGCAACAAGCGAAAAAATAATGGTTAGGACTTGGAGAAAATTGCTTACCTGTAACTTGAGTTCATATAGATTATCAGTGAAGATCCCCACACTCCATCCTCAATAGAACTTGAACAGGTGGAAGGGGCTGAGGATATGCAGAGAGCCATGTTTCTTTACATAGCATTGAATTAAGCGTTCCATTACTCAAGGCAAGAATGCCTCTCCCCTCCCTGTGGTCGGTTTGCCGGAAGGTTCTTGGAAGGATTAGATTTGTATTGGTAAATGTTGGTGTACGCGCACAGACACACAGTTTCCACTGACGATGATCAAAATTTACAATAGGCAAAGTAAGAAAAGTGCTGCTTGAGAACTTTAAATTAGAGTCCCACCTTAATGTATATAAAATGTGTTGTAATGCTGGCATTAGTGGAGCTGGAGGAGTGCAACATTTAGGTAGGTTTAACTTTTTGAATCTCAACATCTGCTGTCATTAAATCATTGTCCTCCCCTCCCCAATTTTCCACAACTGTGAAAATTTAAACAGATAATTAAAAAAAAAAAGCTTAAAAATAAACATCTATATTATCCATTGAATTTATTAAAGAAATCAAATTCTGCCAAGCCTAGGCATATACTCAAAAGTCTGCATTTGTACTGATCTACTCAAAGTCAGGTTAAAGGGAACTTTTTTTCCTTGAGCCAATGAGTCACTTCACTTACAAGCATAAAACAAATTCATCTAGCTTGAGGGCTGCAGAAGTTCTTCTTTTGCTGTTTCGAGTTTTATGTGTGACTGAAGATGTTTTCTTGACAATATCCTAAAATTCATTGGAAAGAAATTAGGCAATAAGGTTAAAATGTTGAACCTTAACTCAATTTTCTGGTCTTCATGGGTTTATGTGAGAGTTCTTACTCTTTGCACAAAAGCATTGTGACAAATCTGTCAACACTTCATCAGGAAACACTGGTCATGCTAGTCTGCTCTTAATCTCCCCTCCCCTCTTTTCTTGATTGCTATGGACAACACCACCAGTCTTACCTGTCACTCAGGCCATAACCTGGGTGACATGTTCAAATGTGGCATCTCTGTAGGTCCTCATACCCAGGGCACATCTCAGTCTTGCAGATTCTTTCAGCGTAATATAAGATACAGCTAACATTCTTGTCCAAGCTCGGTCATCTTGTGTCTTGATTGCTGCAACATCCCTTTCTCTGGCCTTGACAAATCTTGCACTGCTCATATCCATTCAGAATGCTGCTTCAAATATCATTTTACTAGCCTGTTGCTTTATCCATGGCATCCCTCCACTTGCTTGCTCTTTTCTATAGCATCAAACATAAGCTGTTTGTCTTCACTTTCAGGGTCCATCAGTCAGTCCACACCTTACCTATCATTTCTCATTCACTATTGAGATGTTAACTCCCATCTCTGAATGGTCCATGATGCCAGCCTCCCTTGGTGGTTTTCAGAGGATGCAAATAACTTTGAAGGTGTATGTCTACACCAGTGGTGGCTTATGTATAGAGGGCATTAGGGCACCGCCCCTCCTGTAAAAGTCCACACAAATACCTGTGTCACTAAATATGAATTGAGAACACAGCAACTATATTCTGTTAGCAATTTGTATTTAATAACAGCCTCCAGAAGTCTTTCTCCATCGCCCCATGGCAAGTGCGCAGACTATGCAGTGAAAGCCTGATAGGAGGCAAGCTGCTAGGGTTTTGAATGGGGGCAATTAGAGTGTAACGCTTTACTGTGCTGTATTGTCACTGTAGCCTGTGGTTTGGGCAGTGAATCCAACGCCTCGGACCCCACCCAAAATCCTTGTGGTTTGCTTCCTATCAGTCCTTCACTGCGCAGTCTGTGGGGGAGAAGGAGCTGGAGGAGACGTTGACCAGGAGCTAAGGAAGCAGGAAGAAAGGCCAAATGGGCAGAATAGCCACCCTTCTGAGCTGGTAAATCTGTTGCTCCTGGCCTAGGGCAGAGGGAGCCCTAGGGACTTGCGGCTAATGGTGAACTTTCGGGAGGCAGGCAGGGCAGTGAGTAAGCACCAGGGGCTGGGGTGAAGGGAGGAATTAGGGTAAAGGGAGGAGGGAGACTTCAGGGGCCAGGGCCAAGTGGGGTGAGAATTAGGGGGCAGAGCTCCCAGAGAACTGGGGCTAAGGGGAGAGTTCTGGTATGGGGAGCCCCAGGCGTTTCTACTGTCCCCCACTTGTGCCAAGGTTGACCAGCTGCCACTTGTCAACACTTGAGCTGGAAGTGAGCCTTCCAGCCTGGGTAGATAGGCTCTCACGCTAGCCGTGCAAGCAATGTGGCTTGGGCAGCAGTTTGGGCTCTCAAACCTCCCCCACTTCTCCCCTCCAACTGGGTCTGAGCTTGGGTGGCTAGACAAAGTCTTTGCTGGAGCCACAACGTTCACACTGCTATTTTTAGAATGCTAGCTGGATCCCCGCTTGCATGAGTCTGTGTCTTTTGGGAGGCTTGCTCCCTGCTGCAGTGTAGTCATACCACAAAAAACTGAAAAATACACGTTAAAATTGAAGTTCAACAGTTTCCAGATGTTTGACTTTCAAGTCATGCTGGAAGACTTGCATGTTTTCCCATGCTTTGCCTAAGGACCTGGGTTAAATGGGGGAGTGGATTTTGCAGGTTGAGGTGCAGTAGTGTCTGTTGGATAGGAAGGTTTTTGAGACTGTCAATCCAAGGGAAATTTTTGTATGTCATGTTTTGTAAAGAAATGTAGAGGTGCTGAGGGTTTGTCTACACTGCAGTTGAAAGTGTGATTGACGCATATGTACACATACCTGAGCTGGCTTTAATGTAGCTAGCATGCTAATTGGGGGTTTGAGCATTGGCCTGCTAAACCCAGGGTTGTGAGTTCAATCCTTGAGGGAGCCATTAGGGATCTGGGGCAAAAATTGGGGATTGGTAGCAGGGGATTGGACTAGATGACCTCCTGAGGTCCCTTCCAACCCTGATATTCTATGATGATAGCAGTGAAGCTGTGGCAGCACAAACTTCAGCACAGGCTGGCTGCCCATGTAATAAGGACCCAGGGGACAGGGTGGGCTTGGAGCAGCATGGGTGCTATTGATATTCACACTGGATTAAAGCTAGCTCAGGTATGTCTATACATGCTTCATTCCCAACTCCAGTTGCAGATGCTTAGCCAGATGCTTTTAACTGAAATATATAAAGATGGATTGCTAAAGGTATACATGAGTAGACATGAATTACAAATAGTACTATAAAATCATTCCCTTTCTTCCTTGCATTACAGTATCACAGAGGTTCTCAAACCGGGAGCAGGGTGCAGAGTATATTCTGGGGGGGTATGAGAAGCTTTTTTTTGGGGGGGAAAAGCTTACTGCCCCCATTTTATCCACAGTAATGAATAACTAGCAAAGTTGATTCCTCCACACATATCAGTAGGGGTCTACTTAAATCACAGTGAAATCACATATTTTTTTGTGGGTTGGTTAGGGCATAAAGAGCAAACTTCTTGGGTGAGTTCATAGAGTTATATATTCCATGCCACTCTTGCTTCTGTGCTGCCGCTGCTGGCAGCTGTGCTGCCTTCAGAGCTGGGCACCTGGCCAGCAACCACCTTTCTCCACTCCGCCTTCAGAGCTGGGTGGTTAGAGAGCGGCGGCTGCTGGCTGGGTGCCTGTATCTGAGGGAAGCGCCACCGCCAGCAGAAGTAATGGGGTGGCAGTACCTTACTGTTTTTAATATTTAGTGAAACTTGCATGGCTTTTTAAAATTGGTATATGTACTTGTGTGGCAGGAGTGGGGGGCATAAATACTACAGACACACAAGTGGGGGGGCGCGATCAAGTAAGTTTGAGAACCACTGCAATGTCAGATCTCTGGCTTCTGCAGGAACTGAGATGACATCTCAAATACTTAGAGGGCAAGAAAGACTGTTCTTTTCCAGTTTGAGTTTGATGTTGCCAGTGTAGAACCTAGAACATGCATCTTGTTAGGTTGAATAAATCCCTCTTCC